CTCGCTCACATAAGCAGGGGAGTGAACACGACACTCATCAGGTTCATCATAACACTGTACTTCAAATGCTACTACTTTTTAGCGACCTGTATATCTGATGCTGTGTAGGGGGTGGTTACTATCATATGTACATGTGATTCCAACACCATGGGTATTACTGTCCTGCTTTAATCCTCAAATGGATGCCTCTGGTCATTAGCAGCCCAGGACCACACAATACCCTGTGTCCCTCATTTCTAGCAGTTAAGCATGAAGCTGTAGCAGAGCTGGTCTACAGAGCCACTGGGTTTTTAGGTGAACCTCAGCACCGTGTTGTACCTAATGGTCAGATCACCTAAAACCGGCATTTTGATGACAACTGCTCTGCATGTTGATGAAGATGTACCCGAGGCTGCTGCTGATCATCACAATTCGTTTTTATCCTAGTCCTGAATTAAGATCATTTGCAAGCAAGAACAGGGCATTAAAGTGACAGGCAGCTCCATCCAGCAACGGCCAAAATGTGTACCGTTATATGTTAAGGCTGAGATGTATTTTATTAGAACTATTGCTACGCTATTGTTGATTCAGATTCCCAACCTCTGAAGCCAGAGGATCTCACAAACTCTTACACAAACATTAGTCTTTAGCTGCTGTGGCTCGTGATGGAGAAAATAAAATGGGTGCCAGACCTTCTGACAGCTGTTGGAAGCTTTAAAAGTCTCTTTATTTGTCCATCTACATCTAACAGTCCAACAGTGGGAAGGTAGCAATAATAACGAGCAGCTGACTTTGATTAGCGTGCTGGCTGAGTTGGGTTCAGTCGGTCTCACTCTATGAGGAGTTTCACTGGTCTGTGTGTGTGTCATACATTTAATGAGCATTTCATCGCTTCGGCTGCTCGTTTCATTTTCAGTATGTAGTTAAAGGCTGCAAATATTAATCAGACTGCTGCCCAATGTTGTCGTATCTCTTGTAACTATTGATCTATTTGATAAGGAATTAGAAAATAATGTAAATTTGGTTACTACCATACTACCAAGTCCCAGCCTTATAGCTGCATGTTGTCAGGTACCAAAGACAGGATATCTGCATACGTTTTGCCCTAAAGAGTATTTTCAATCAATAAGACCTGATTCTCTCTGCAGGTTGCTCACTGTGGCAGTTCATCCAGACAAAGCGCTGAAGACTCCAGAGATCTGACACGTCTCTAACTCTGTCAGACAAACACAGCAGAGAGAAAAGAGAAAGAAGAAAAACCACTGACATGATGGAGACAGAGCAACCAACAGAGGTCGGAAATGTAAGATGTTGAGTCATCCTGTATCTGAATAATGGCCACGGCAACCAGGCCAGACGGTGGACTCGTCTCTGTACTTGTCCTGCTGGATCTGGGTGCTGCAGTTGATCACAACAACGTACACAGACGATGACGTTTCACCAAGATGAGTCACTGTGTTTGGCTCTAAACACCAAAACACAGTCTAACCAGGTAGCTGCTCTAGATGCCATTGCCTTGGCCTCCAGTTCTACTGTAAAGAACACCCTCTCTGCTTTAAGGTTCAGCTTAAACCTTCCTCTGTGATAAAGCTGATAGTTAGAGCTGCTCAGGATCACCTGAACTGTCCCTTCATGATGCTGCTATGGGTTTAGACTACTGAGGGATTCCCATGATGCACTGGGCTCCTCTCCT